CTCGCCCCCCCCCCTCGTTCAGATACTCTTTTCTGACCCAGTATACCAGATTACGAAACCCTTGCTAGATGGTTGGCGTGATGCGATGAGATTAGGCCGAGTGGATTTTCCCAGATGCCTTTCCATTTGTCCTAGTTTTTGTCTATAAGCCTTTGATTGGATGAGGAGAGGAACCGCGGGAAACATTTGCGAATTGTATACTGAAACACTTTTACCGTACTTGAACGTTCATACACAGCTTTTTATGAATTTTATGCCGAATCAATTTTTCTGAAATATACATTAATTTAAGTCGAAAGCAAACGAACCGACTGACTAATGTGCTTCTGGTTTTTTTGATTTAACTTAGTCACAAAATTGAAAACTTGTAACTTCTCTTTCATTTCGATTTGTATTAAGAATTAACATAACAGTCAGTTTCTGGAAATGGTGGTAACTTGAAGCAAAAACCCGTGTCCTAATTCGTAAGATATTACTTCAAGAAATATGTTGCAATCATAAGATTGAGTGTTATTTTCAACTGACTGATTGACCGCCTGCATTTTTAAAAGAATATGGTCTTTTTAACCGCAACGGAAATCCCGGTGAGGACCGACAAAGAGCACTTGTTTAATCGAACAGTCGAATGGGCTGAACCAAACACGATATTCTAAATTGAGCAGACCGTCAACCTTGTAGTTCAGGGCTAAAGGTGTCGACTCCTAACCTAAAAGCCACCGGTTGGAGTCTGGATAAGTATATGGATTGGTGAATAGTACTGAGGAGCCCCTAAAAGGACGAAACAGCTAGTCGGTACTACAAGTCGGTTATCAAAGAGATTTATGTGGCACATAAAGGTATTTGAGTGAAGGGGATTTAATGATCTTCCAAGGAGTGAAACGCATCTCAATGACCATCCACAGGGCCTGGTGACTGTGAGCAATTGGATGTGCTGAACCAAGCACTATATTCTAAAATAAATACTAAATTGGGTATTGGATTGTTTTATAACGGGTTATTAGACAAATGCGCCATCAAACATTTACCCAGTTCACGGTTCCTATCACTCATGCGGGAGTAGTGTTGTATTCACTATTCTTCCATCAAGTCATTTCCAAATATGAATTTCACTGAATGGTTCTTGACAAGCTAATTTCGAAACATCATTGTCATATTTCCTGGCTACATGTTTTTAACATTTGCAAGCTGCGCGCAGATCGATTGTTGATAACTTTCTAATCTATGTGCTGAATTCGTCTTGTAAGTGAAGCGTGAACTGAAAAGTTGGGAAGCACTAGACAGCAGCTGTTTCGACCTGGTTGGGTCTCATCATCAGCAGTGCGAATCCGTCTGGGGGATCGAACCCGGAACTTCACAGTTAGGGCAAAAGCATAATATCCACTCGGTCATCGGACAGTTGATCAAACTTTTTCTCATTTTGAGTATGCATGATATAGCACAACCCATTTGATCATCTTCCCAACACTCTGTGCTCGACCGGTCTCCTCACTGTGGTGATAATGAAGAAACTACACTGAAATTAATGTAAGTGAAATACAAATAAGAGTGATCACCGGGCCCAACGAAACTAGCAAAAATATGCACTGTAGTCAATCCCATTTCACTTTTGTTAGCTCCTCAAAAAATTGCGTTTTGCACCAATATTTTCTCGAGACACACTAACTATTCATGAAATTTTAGCATAAGATAAAAGTACTGATATTGTTGAATAATTATCGACTATTGAAAGCGAACAGTTTACTGCTCCAATTCTACTACTTTGTCTCGGTTCGATAAATTTTGTCTGTTGCAATCAATCTGTTCGTTTATCACCTTATACAATTCCCTGTTCGGGATGAAACCTTCATCTGGTATTCAAGTCTGCCCCGTTGATTCCGTATTCCTGTCTCTGCACCAATTTGCAGCAAACGCGTCATCGGCATTGGATCTTGTTAGTGCACTCACTACCCCTTATCGAATCGAATTCAGTGGAGATCCGAAAAGCGAGCCACAACAACAACAAAATACATCTGACACAAAAGCAACCGCGGCACAGGCTGCCCCGTCCAATTCACAACTGTATCTGCCTCCCATGGCTTTTGATATGAGTCAGTGGTCAGCCCCGGGGGCGTTGGATTTTTTCCAAAAGTTTTCCTCATGGTGGCCCCTGGTCTCGACAGAATGTTTTAACAACTTGTTGCAGTATCGTGAGGTGAAAGACACGTCCGGTGCGAATGGAAATGAGGTTTCACGCACCACCGCTGATCTGATTAATTTGGCTAACCTGATTAATTCACGATCAACGGGGCCGAATTTGACATCGAATATTCCGACTCATGGTTTTGCCAGTCAATCGGATTCGAGCGGTCCGGGCGGTGGCTCCCGGAGTGAGATTGATTCTGTCAGTCAGAAACGTGGTTCGGAAGACTCGTCAATCGAGGTGACCAAAACAACCAGTATGGCTAGTCAACACCAGGATACACGTCAAACTGACCGGTGCTCCACGCCGGTTGGCGCGTTGTTGCCGCACGATATGCAATCTGGCCACGTGCGGAACCACACGGACGAAAATGAGCAAATGTCTGAACGGAGACACACGTCTCGTGTGGGAAACAATTTGGAACTGGGTAATGGTTCGGGTGAATATGATCTGGTCGGATCCGATGACATGGAGATGGAGATGGATGACGAAGAGGAGGAGGAGGAGGAAGAGGACGAATTGCCATCGAATGAACCAGGAACTAATCGAATGGCTGTCACAATGCGTGATTGGGATTCAGGTCGGATCCAGAATCCCGATGGAAAGTGTAAGTCCTTTGAGGGTTAGACGAACACCGCTGGGGGGGAGGTACCACTATATTAACTAATAACTATATTCTAATTCTGAAAGTATCAGGTACCTCTTTGAAAGTCCAAACAACACCTGGACGTAAAAGGAGTTTAGGAATGCCTGTGAAAAGAATGTGCGACCGAATGAGAAAATATCAGAACAGCCAATGTGATCCTGTGTCACCATCCTGAATACAGTGTGTTGCGATGAGAAGGTTACTGGAACATGTAGAGAAGAAACACCAAACAGCAGTTGCAGAGAATCTGAACCACAGATTGGTAGGTAAATTTTAAGATTCATTAAAGATGAAACCCGAATTAAAAACGACGGATGTGTGTGTTGTTTCGTTTGTATCCCTGGGAAATTTCTATTTGAACAGTTTGTGTGTTANTGTGTGTTAATGAAGTCCTTTTTATTTGTATCTTACTCCTCCTTTCGAAATATCAGCCCCTTGCTTGCTTGCTTCATTTTGTTTCAACGAGTTTGTATTAGGAGTTCACCATTCTTCTGACGTTTATAACCGTGTAGTGTCTCACACCAACTAGCTTTGTTTTGAAATGAGGTATTCAAAATCCGTAGCAAACTCAATTGGTAGAAACCGTCGAGAAAAAGGAGCCATCGTTCGAACCAGTTTAATGGAGAATTCGATTATTCTCCCAGAACGCGCACACTTTCTCTATTCGGCTACAGCATCCGCAAGACCTGGAGATGGTCAAATTCCCCGATTAATCTGTCCGCGAAGCTTTCGCAAGAAAACTAGTGAGTGAATCAAACATTTGCAATTCACCGAAAAAACAAAACAAAAAATAATCGAGTTTTGAGCATGCTCAATTTTCCCAACTGCAGGCATCTATGTCGGTTGAAGGATTGAACATGCCTTTTGGAATTTCATCGAAAACGGAATTTCTCGACAAATAACAAAAAACATATTAAGTTGATAAAAAAACTTTTGCTATATAACCACTCGTGTATTCATTTATTTGTTTATTCACTCATTTAAAAAAATTCATTCACCGTTCTTCACTTCCCTTTTATCAAACAGTTTCACAAACAGATTCTGAGACACACGGATACACGTTCAAAAGCAACACCATGCACGGTTCCGGGGCAGTTCAGTTGATAAGACGTAAGAAAAAAACCAGAACAGTATTTTCGCGAAATCAAGTGCACCAACTGGAAACCACTTTCAACTTGAAACGCTATTTGTCCAGCTCGGAGCGGGTTGTTCTTGCCAAAGCATTACACTTAACGGAGACGCAAGTAAAAATATGGTTTCAGAATCGTCGAAATAAATGGAAACGTCAGGTGATCACTGATTTTGACTCATCACCATCCGGTGTGCTTAGCGGTAGCACTAACTCCACAATTCTGTGCCCTCGGTCGGGAAATCTGCTCAATTTGCCAAATACACAATCCACTGGACCAGGACTATCCGGTCTGGAGTTTGAACACTCTCCAACATCCACACCGAACCAACCGCAAAACTTATTTATTCCGCATAACGGTAACACAGTTCAACCCGTTCAATCCACTTGGAGCACCACAAGCAACATGCTTCCGTTTCGCTTTCCATCGCCACTGTTTCCCAATAACCAAAGATTACCGTGGATAAATATGCCCCCAGATCGTTCCTCTTGTTCTAACCGAGAAGAGAAGAGCAACTCTGCCACCAACGGTAATTTTTTCACCACAGAGCATCTGTCCAAGTCCAATCCGCTGGGCCTAACTGTTCCGAATGCTAGCGCCCACACTCATGGGGGAAATCCAATTAATCCGGTAGTTCCAGATAACTTAGCGAATATTATTCCCAAATTAGATGCCAGTTTCCCCGGTTTCACTGTTCCAGGTGGACGATTGGGTGAACAATCGGGAGCGACTCGGCCCGTTCCCAATGACCTAATCGCTCCCTATTTTGCTCGCCTTTCGGGCTCGTTGAAAGCGGACGGAACTGAGGAATCGAGCACGTTCCTGTCTGCTCTGAACAGTGCAGCTGCGGTAATGATGAACAGACTCAGCGGAATATTGAATAACAACACAACAACCCCGGGCGCATTCTCTAGCAGTGTTGACGCAAGTCTGTTGTCAAGACCGGGACATAGCGTATCGGAAATCCGGCATCCAGCGGACACCATAGATGCGGTCGCTTATGGTCAAGGGAAATGATTTACAAATGGAAGATTTGCGTAAAAAGACAAAAAACTATAAACGAAAGCAAAGTTCAAAGCGCATTTATGATTCATTCATTCTCTTTTGCATCCTGTGAAGTTATCATTTCTCTCTCTCGTTTCTTGACATCAGTTGCACTCAACATATTCTCTTCCCATCCCATACCCACCCGTGCCACCCTCATCTTCTTCCTCCTTTTGAGTACCCATTGTGATTTAAGTTTTGGTTTGTCAACTCATGCACAACAAACAGTCTTCACACACACACAAACGGTCTCAAGCGTGTTCCGAATTGTTTGAGTTGTGATTTGGGATTCATTTGGTCTGGGACCAACGATATATAATGTAAAAAACATATACGTATATATACTATCTTATCAATTGTTGAAGTTAGTAAAAAGTTGATCGTATGCGAATGAACATGAGATTGTCTACTGGAAAATGATGGAGTTTTGGATGAAAATTTGTGGTCACTTTCAAACAATCCGGTTGGAATAATTAAGTACCAGCGTCGAATTCCTCCGTGATACATATGTTAACTAGTAGTTAACATGTAGTGGTTGGTGGTGGTCAAGTATTTTCATTTGCCGTCACTGACAAGGGGTAGACCAGGGGTAGAAATCTTCGCCATCAGTCAGCTCAATGTCGCACTTGTTCCATTGGGGTTATTTTTAGTCAGCAATGCCAAGTTCTCCGTTATTATCACGGAGAACTGTTCGCCCGATTATGCAATTTGGCCCCTCCGTTTTTCATCACGCGATGAAATTTATTACCAGGTATTTTACTAACACGAACCGGTAGTAGTTTACTCTCAACCAGAAGTATATTGATCCGTGAACAATGTATGGCTCCATTTCTTCTCCGTCAAAATTCGTGATAAGGCAAATTAAACACCCGTGGAGAAACATGAGGTTTTGTTCTTCAGTAAGTTATTTTTGGATGACAATAGAAATGTTTGGTTCCCTTTACTCTTTAGAAATCAAAGTCCTTAGAAATCCTACCTTGAATCCAAGGTTGTAGTACTGTGGAATCATTTGTGGAGGTTTCAACAGTTCTTGTCCCTTTTTGTATTTGATATTTGATGACTTTCTGACAATGGATCTTCTTGAACTGTAGGATGTACAGTGATGGTCTGTGGCCGATATTATAAACGACATTTGGCAATTGGCTTAAATTTTTCCAGACACGTTGTGTAAATGATGATACGCCCAACCACACTACTCAACTCCCAATCGTAAGGACTTCGGTGATTGAAGTCGGAACGACAACACTTACTTCTGAAGCAACTACGAGGCCGGGATGATGTTCATCTTGATACTTGACTGACAACCCAATAGGTTTGAGTCATGAAATCAATCCTGCTCAGTGTTAATCAATGGCAAAACGACAGATTATTAAACATCAGGGATGGAACCAGGTTTCATCGAAGTTTGATTCAAACCGGTTGCAGTTCCAATGAAACCAGAACCCACAGCGGATAGATGATGAAAACAGGCGAATGATAATTAGTATGTGAATGACTGGACAAAGGTACTGTGGAAGCACACGACGGGTTTCGCGGTTCTTGTCGCTCTTCAGGCATGCGTACCTTACAGTGTCTTGTCGATTTATTCATATACTTGTACCCAAGAAGTGTATTTTCGTCACAATAACGTTGTTTGCAACACCGGGTGACCTTTGGACAAACGGCTTTTTCAAAGCCAGTCCATTGAAGAATCAATGCTATGATTCAATGTTTTTGTAAGTGGGTTAGATGCTACCAACCGCAACAAACGTGACTTGATCGTCTTTACAGAATATTTCATAATAAGTAGTATGTGAATGACGGGATAAAATTTCCCTGGTGGATATATCACCGGCTTGCGAACGCATGGTGCTAAAGCAACAACAGTAATAAAAGATATTCGGGATATTGGGGAACAAAGCAGAGTGATATAGAAATCAAACAGTTCGAGTGAAACTGGATAACTATACACTTTTAGATATTTTTTGGATTGCCAGTAAATATTCACTCATGCCTCCGGTTTCGAGTCTATTTTTCCTGTCTACATACATATTTCGAATACTAATCGTAGTATTCCAAGCAAATTGACCCGTTTCAATGACCCTGTATCATGTCTTTACTTTCCAATAAATGAAAAAAACCGCATGAAGGTGGGAACGATCTCCCTTTTGCAATGTAACTTAGATCTATGTTGCTCTCGGCGTGCATAATACGTCCACTGAAATTACTTTTATATAATATAAATCGCAAATCAACACATAGGAACCGAGGAAGTCGAAATCTGAGTGCATTAACTAAGCACCCATCACACCCATTGTTGTGTAAGATTGACCATGCACTGCTATGTGCATTAACTTATGATTATATCAAGGTATTTTTGCATACATCAAATTGTCGCCGGAAGTCATCGATATTCATCAGTTGCGTGAATGGGTTCCGACCAGATAACGACAAATCATTGAAAAAGTAAACGGCAAACTGGGAAATAAATGTAATATTATGATAGTATGAAAGTGACCAATCAGTGGATCGCGGACCGATGAAAAATAGATAAATAAGCAACTGGCATGTCTACCCTCTAAGAGCAAAAATAGAATTGGGAAAGTTCGCATTATGAGGACTTTCTGCTGACCGTCGAAAACTTTTATCATGCACATACAATTTAGATTTTGATAGCACTGTCAAGTAATATCCAAAAAAGTAAAACATAAAACATAGAGCTGGTAAAGCGACAAAGTTCACGATCATATTGTACCGAGAGTAGTTTGCATAAAAATCAAATTAATAACTGATGTTCATTGACCAGCTTGAGTTGGTAATGGTGAAGTACAAACCCAGAGCAAACCGAGCAGTACGTTACAGATGGTTGTTATTCGGTTACCGGTTATTAGCTCTTCATCCATCCATCCATTCATTCACCTAATCGATTGTCATTTGCATCAATGTGGAGGGTAAATCTTTCCTACGCATCTGTTCATCTGATTGTTTCTCATCTTCGTGTTGGCAAGGTAATTATGGTTCGGCTATGACAATTTGAAAATGATTCTCATATCCAGTTGCAGCTTCTGGAATGCACTTAACCCAAACATGTATCTTTACCAGGATGGATGATAGCAATATTAGGAAACATGGTGAAAGTTGTTGTGCGAACGAGCTTGTCAGTGTTTTAGCTCACTCGATTGAGCATCAGCTGCGATTTTTTATGAACCCCTGTCGCTCCCTCCCCCTCTATTATGAATATCGATTAGGGGCGTTTAAAGCTGCAAACAAAATAAAACGGATAGTGTTTAGACTGTGAAAAGTTCAGCAGCCTTGGTGAGATTAGAACCCACGCATAGACTCCGCCTATGTTACTGAACTTTTCACAATCGCAACATAAGATTCCAAATTGCCAAACCACAATGAGAACAAAAAAAGAAGGTGGTCAAATTCTCTCAAGTATGCTCTTTTTCAATGCCCGTAGCGGAATCGGGCAAAACAAGTCAAAGTTTGCGAATCGATGTAAACTCCAATCTTGCGGAATAACGTTGGCAAATCTGAAGCCGACTGATGAAATCAAACCAGTTTATACATCCCATATGACCATAGCCTAACTTTGCACGGGTAAATGGTTACTTGGTTACAAAGCCGAAGAGGTGTAGACCTGGTGGTTTTCTGATGAACTGAATGCTATCAAAGTTTAACTATTATGGCGTAAAAATTTCATCCATATTATTCCAGAACGTTGCCACATGAGATACAAAAATGTTTGGTGTTCAACAATAGCCGAAAGCTAGTGTACAGCGAAACGCCACCCCACTCCGATGAGAAATTCCTGTTCAGTTTAAATTGTTGGGCTATTTATTCGATGTTGTCTCGGGAATGCAAGACCTTATTTTTATCCCGGTCGCCTGAACGAAAATGTTTTCTTTCTTACGGAAAATTTGCCTAGCACAACGTTTTCCGTCTTGGCTAAGCATGCTTAGTAGTTTTTGGCGAACATTGAAGTTGTTCCTTGAACAGACTGTTCTTGAAGTTACATTATGGTAATGGGAGTGAGTGGTAGTATGTTTGCGTTCTACCTGTGAAGTTCCAAGTTCGATCGCTAGTCGTATGGATGGATTCACAGTTCTGGTGAGGTTCAGGTCAAAACAACTGTCTTACTCTTCAGTTTTTGCTTCATTTGCAATTCACTCAATGAAATTCGGTACATAACTTTTTGGAACATCCATTCGTGAAATAAAGCGAAGACCTCATACGGTTTTGTGGTTTGTAGGAAGCTAGCCGCATACTCAGCAGCCTATTCGGAAATGAAGAGTATCAGAAAACCGAGATAGAATGATCTTGTAAACAAGCAGTGGGTTTTACGGCTTTGGTAATCCATTAGTATATTTTTCCCGTATCCTGTTCTTCATCTTATGGAGTCCGCATCTGAATTCTTTGTACATCGATCCCCGGGTGAGAATACCGAAAACCGGTCATACACTTTCAGGGAAATTTTCTCCAATCATTCATATAGTACACATTACATTCGTTGATTCTGAATTGAAGATACCTCTTCGAGAAATCTTCGCATCGAATGGGAAACACGGACTTGATGTTACAGAGTGTAGCCTTTCCGATTCAGCCCAAGTCGTGTTTGACGACAGGCACAATGAACGTTTCATATTTACTGCGCTTCATTATTCTTGGGCTTCAAAATGTAACGGCGCGATTCAAATTTCAATAAAATTATCCGGTTATTTTTGCCTGCTTTTATTGTACTTTACATCCGCCATTTTGCTCAGCATGTGAAAGCTGCTATCCGAAGATCATAAGCTGAACAAAACCACCCATGGCGTTGACTTGACTACTGACTGGAGTCCACTAAAGTTACAGATTCTGTGTCGTAGCGTAAGTATTCTGACTGAATGATTTTGGCACTGTTGAAAGATTTCCGCTTGGAGGTCGGTGATCATGCTCAACTTGGCGCAAGTCGATTGGAGTGAACGGATTAGTAACATCAAGGTGATGTGTTCGGGGATATCTAAAGGGGGGAATTCTTTGTTAAAAAAAAACACTGCGAGATGAATTTTTGTTGGTTCGGACGCTGTGACGTGGGTACGGAAATCACACAGCACGTATGAAGACCCGCGGGAAAGCTCTAAAATGATAGCAGTAGACACTCTTTACCACCGACACTCGATCGCACCTCTCACTGTCAGACACGCTCACACAGAGAGAACATGACTGTCGCGCACGAACGTATATTGACGCATGGAACGAACGAAATCCCACTGCCGTAGGTGTCTGCTGTAGCTTGCCTCAGGCATCTGGTGATTCGCGTTTAAGACAACCACTAGTAAATCAATAATTTACATT